ATGGAAACAAGTGCCCAGCCCTGGGAGTGTGTAACGTAATGACCTGAGTGCTGCCACACCATTGCTGGGAAAAAGAAAAGTAACTTTAGTGTAGTGAGCCAATGGGGAGTGTACACTGGCAGGGGCAGGGGTCCACCCAGGTAGGGTGTTCTAAGTTCAAAAGCCTCAATTAAAGGCTCAACGGTGGCACTCAGTAGGTGACAGACACATAGGAAAGATATCATGCACTCCTGCATCATCCCTCCATCAGGAGACAGACTACAGGAGAGGAGCATTATAGATGCACAGATTAAGACACACAGGATGAGGTTATAATATGGGTTATTATATTTTATTGGGGGGGAAGTCACTTACACTAGAAACCGATGACCCACAAGTTCCTGCTCTCCTTGACCCAAGAGCTGCAGCCAGGCAGGGATTCTGTTCCCTCAGGCACTGGCACAATCACAGCCACTAAAAGAAACCTTATCTAAATATCTCTATCCTATAGAACTCAGGATTCTCTCCTTGCTCACATCTGGGAAGGGAAGATGGACAGATGTACACTTCCTTTTGCTCAGCCCCCACTAAAGAACCCTGGCTACACATGGTTCCTCCCTACCACTTCCTGTCATCCAGTTGCTGACTTAGCCTCCTGACACACTACCCCCCCTATTAACTTTATTTAATAAAAAAAATTTAACATGTCTTTGCATTGTTAACAAAAGCAGCAAGAACAAATGTGACACACCTTTACACAGGTAAAATAATTTTCCACAACAAACCACATTGTTCATATGGACTTGAGCATCTGGGGGTTATAGCATCCCTGGAAACCAACTCCACACACATCAAAGAACGACTTTCTTATCCAGCTCTGTGATGGAAAATAGGTACCCAGCTTTTCAAAAATTCTCTGGGAAGTTTGAAAGTGAAATTGCTGTGCAACTCCACTGGAATGGAGGTGTGAAGTGACTTTGACAGCAGGAGAAGCATTTGGCATCAGGGAGAGCTCATGGGAGCAATGGGCACTCTGGCACTTAGGGGTCAGAATTCAAGCCAGTCCCCACTTATGGAACAGCAGAAGTTGGCTTGCTGGCTGAGGTCTCAGTGTAGAGTACCAGTTCACGGGTAGAACTAGGAATAAATCAAGTTCCCCAGGAGTGGGCAGACTGGAGGGACCCTCATAAATCAGGTTAAGGTGAAGATTGGCCAAGAAGACAGAATGACCCCATGCTTAACTTGTTCTGTATAAGTGATCCATGCCCTAGGTCAAAGAAACCGATCCCTTCAGAGCCATGTTTAAAAACTTCTGCCCCAGACACCAGTGTTTGGTGGCTGAGTTTCCCAGCGGACACAGAGGAGGAAAGAGATTGAGAACTCAGCAGGGCCTGGTAGAAACAGCCACCATCAGGGTCAGGTCTTAGCTGGATACAGAGCTCTCTGGAGTGGGAATGACACTGGTTTTAAGAATGCAGACTCTAGCCAAGCGGTGGTGGCGCACGCCTTTGATCCCAGCACTCTGGAGGCAGAGGGAGGCGGATCTCTGAATTCTAGACCAGCCTGGTCTACAAGACCTAGTTCCAGGACTGGCTCCACAGCTACTGAGAAACCCAGTCTTGAAAAACACAACAAACAAACAAACAAAAAATACAAACTCTGGGGCTCATGTGGCCCCAGGCTCTTTCCAGCAAGTCAAGGAGTTGTGAGTTCACAGCCTTACCTTCTCCTGCCCCACCAAAAGACCTATTCAGCGGTCACAGAGATTCTTCATGCCCTTGGACAGTCAGTTGAAGGATTTTCAGCCCCAGAACTCTGTCTCCCCAGGGAGCCTGCAAAAGTTCAACCAATTCCTCTCTAGGATGGATGGAAGCCTCAAAGAATGAGTCTAGCACCAGAGACCCAACCTCTAACCTCTAGCATCCTCCAGGACAAAGGGCCCCATGCTGTCAGTCATCAACTCCTTTCATCTTTCTTCTTCTTCTTCTTCTTCTTCTTCTTCTTCTTCTTCTTCTTCTTCTTCTTCTTCTTCTTCTTCTTCTTTAAGACAGGGTTTCTCTGTATTGTTTTGGAACCTGGAACTAGCTCTGTAGACCAGGCTGGCCTAGAACTTCCAGAGATCCACCTGCCTCTGCCTCCAGAGTACAGTGATTAAAGGCACAAACCACCAATACCCAGTTTATTCCTTACATCTTGTATAAGACCCAGGGTTAGCAATAGGCTCCTGACCTATCAGCCACAGAGATCTGTGACCTATCCCCCATCATCTTCTGTGGGACTTACTGTGTTTTGTGGTATGTTCTAAAGAGTGGTTCTCAATGTGGGACCCCAGCTCTCTTCCTTTTAATGAATGAGAACTTTGGAGTGACCAGAATGACCTGAGTGTTAGGCAGCCCTCCAGGTGAATCAGTGCTAAAGCCATTTTCCTTGAAGACTGTGAGCCTAGATCAAAGGTCACTGGGAGATCAGATGAGGTTGCAAGGTAAGATTTGCCAATGGTGGGGCTGTGAGTGTTATCTCAAGGCAGGCGCCTGTCTTTCTACCTCCCCCTCTTGTTTACTTCGTCTTCACACAAGCTGTGTCACAAGGACCCCTCTGTAGTTGGGTCTGTCCCTATGGCCCCCCCATGGCTTGCCATATGTGGTCCCCTGCCCCTCTAAGCTAGATTTCACCCTTGAGGCTTTACTGGTTCTGTATCACTCCTGGGCATCTTTCTGCCAGAGCCAAGGCATCTTTAACTCGCTGTTTGCATTGCTGTGGAATGTAACAGCCTCCCCCCATGCCTGTCTTTCAGTGACCCTTCTAGGGGACAGCACACACCTGGTTATTCAGAAGGACAACAATTGCAGACTTCTCCAGTCCTGTGTCACCTCTCCAGTCCTCACCTTGTCCCCAGGTCCCCAATAGGATTCTGTTTCCACTTATGTCCTTCCCCTCCATCCTCTACAAGAAGGTAGAGGACCAGCCTTCTACAGCCTAGACACATCCTATGACATAGGAAGAGAGGAGCAGGGGATGAATTTATTTCCTGGATTCTTAATCTATCCCTAAAATCCCCTCAATATAAGCTCTGTTTTAATGTTCCAGTGCCAAGATAGAGCCCATTTGCCTGTTACTTGTCTAAGAGGCCACACAGGTCATGTGCATGGCACTCAGTCTATCATCCACATTACTCACACAGAAGAAATGATGTTGCAACACCAGCCCAGCAGTCAGTTCTCCCGGGTTTCTTTTTCTCACTTCCTGAATCCACTACATTCCTATTTTGTAGCCCCAGGACAAGCCACTGTTTTTGAGCAATCCCTGGCTATGTAAAACCTCCTGGCTGTCCTGTTACACCTGCTGCTGCTGGGTGGGCAGCCTCACTCTCACCATGGTGCTGAACACAGAAATACTGCTAAAGGGCGCAGCTTGCTAACTGTCTGTGAGCAAGTTTTCCAGGGACACTGGTTAAACCAGCATTTTCCCAAAAGGTCTTATTAATTAGTGAGTGGAGTGGAAGCTGAGTCTGAGGTGTGTGTGTGTGTGTGTCTGTGTGTATGACGGGGTTTCTCTGTGTAGCCGCTTGACTGTTGTGGATCTCATTCTGTAGAACAAGCTGGTCTGGAACTCACAGAGATCTGCTTGCCTCTTCCTCCCTCCGGGACTAAGGAGCTATTAAAATAATCTTGGCTCAGGAGATGAAAGGGCTTGCCTCGCAACCTGGTTTGAGATTTAGAACCCATGTGAAGGTAGGAGAGAGCGGACTCCACAGAGCTGTCCTTGACCTCACGCACATATCATGCTATGGGTGCCCACACATATCATGCACATGCATACACAATAATTTTAAAAATCTACTCTTGTAATTCTTAAGATGAAGTCTGTTTGGAACCCAGGTCAAAGATGACAGGATGGAAACAGCCCATTTTCACCCCCATTGGGACACTTTGAGGACATTCATACTTAAGTTCTGTTTTTACTTTTTCTGTGTGTGTGTGTGTGTGTGTGTGTGTGTGTGTGTGTGTGTGCGCGTGCGTGCTTTCTGGACAAAGGTATCATGAAGGGGACCATTGTGGATCACCAGATTTGGTGGCTGAGCCATCTCCTGGGGCCATCTTCAGATGCTTTTGTTGAATGGAATTTATGGCATCTGGGCATGGCGCCAAAACGACCTCCCCAATCCTGTTCTTAAACTCCAACAGGTTAGAAGGGAATGAAGAGTTCTCTTGCTGATACCAGCTCCCTGAGACCAAGGAGAGACTGTTTAAACAAGAAAAGGGGATTGCTAGTTAAACCCTGGGATTAGCATGGAACTCTTAATCAGATGACACAGCTGCTCATGTCTCCAGGTGAAGCCACAATGTCCCCAGTATCAGGAGCTATCACGTGCTCTGCCTTTCCAACTTGCACAAGTCAAAAGGGCCAAGCACCCTACCAGGCCAAGTGCCCCACCCAGACCAGTGCCCCTCCTAGACAAGTATCCACAAGGCCAAGTACCTCACTGGTGGCCAGTTGTGTGTGTGTGTGTGTGGGGGGGGACAGCCACTACCAGTCACACATCCAAATGCCTTGTTTGACGGCTCACCTAATTAACACGAACAGTCCCTGACCCACCCAAACGACCTTCATTGTTTTTTTCAAAACACCAGATTTAGTAACTAAACGCTAAAAATCCAGCGAGTGGTTCTAAAACTAAAACCAAAGAAGGAGCCACACAGGCCATCGCGTGAGTCTCTCTTTAGCCTGTAAAAAGGAAAACGTGAGTTTTGTGCTTTCCTCTACAAAACAGAATAATAAGCATAGTAGAAAAATAAATAAAACTGTAAAGCAGAACTGTTTACTGCATGTGGCCCCTCTTTCTTCTGTGGTTGAACAGTCAAAAGCTTTTTTTCTTTTTTCTTTTTCTTTTTTGCCTGGGCTGGGCCCCAGTGGGGAGGCCCTGTAACTTTAAACCTGGCCTGAGGTCATCTTGTGATGCTGGCCAAACAGAGTCCGGGGGGCGGTCCTAGATCTCTGGGCTGGGACCACCTGACGCCCACCCGCTCCCGCCTGCCGGAGTCGGGAGACATAAATGCTGACTGCACCGAGAAGTTGCCAGCTGCCGAGTTTGCTGTGCCTGCTGTGGCCGATCCCAGGAAGCCCAGGCACTCTTGGGCACTGGGACGTCTGCTCGCCGCCTTCCAGCCTTCTGCCGAGTGCTTCCCGGCTGGGTGTAGTTGCGAAGCCTTTTTCATCTTTTCACAACCACAAAAACCACTAGCTGCTGAGGCTCCCGAGAGATGAAGATGTGGACGGCTCCAGGATTGTTCTGGGTTTTGGGGAGCGCGTGGTTGTGGCACTTTGCGCAGGGAGGTAAGCGCCCCGGCATGAGTGGCTACCAGCACTTGCTGGTGGGGTGGAGGGAGGCGGGGGATGCCTGGGATCAGAGAGTACCCAGGAGAGGGCTGGGGCAGCTTAGGTGGGGGCTAAATCCCCCGGGAACAGCCAGCGGGTGTAGCGGGAGTAGTCTGGATCCACAGGTGGTAGGTGCAGAATGCTCCCCCCTCCCCGGGCTAATGACATGGGGTGGGAGGGTGGACTGGCCCGAAGTGCAGTGGATTAGAGTAATGAAGAAGAGAGGAACAGGCAGAAGAACATAGGTTGGAACTCAGGGCCCCATCGTTGGGGACAGACTTGAAGAGGCCTAGCTAATTAGGACTGTAGCACGGGTGGGAGGTGGATCAGCTCGGGGTAGAGTGGGGGAACCATAGGCTGCTGTCTTCCTAGCAGCCTTGTCTTCTCTGCCTCCTCCCTCCTTTCCTTCCAGCACTGGGAATGGATGGGAGCCAGGATGTCCAGCATGCTAACGCTGTGCCTCCTAACCTGGAGGATTGCTATGAGCATTGAAGCATAAGTGTGAGACTATGTATTGAACTTGGCCAAGGACTCAATGGCTGAATTAGAATTAGTAAAAGACCAATGGAGCCTAAGTGTTGGCAGAGTCTTTTCCTTGCATGCATGATGCTCTGGGTTACATCCCCAGCAAGGCACAAAACCCAGCATAGTGATGTTCGCCTGTGTGATCTCAGCATGGGGGAGACTGAGGCAGGAGAATGAGAGTTTTCCAGGTCATTCTAGCAAGTTTGGGCTAGCGATCCTGGGCTTCCGGATCGTACCTGTCCTATTTTATTTCTTACCTTAGGTTTTTAGTTGTGTTTGTTGCTCTGGTAGAATCTAAGCTCTAACCTTGATCCAAAACACCTGGCAGTAGCTGGCGCTCACTGAATAGCGACTGAAGCCTCCTCGGCAAACTAGTGGTCCTCAGAGATGGAGCACGGTCCTTCCCAGTAATGGAAGTGGTCTGTGTGAGACAGGTGGGCCTAGCCTTGGCTTCTATAATTCTCCACAGACAACACCTACCTAGTCTTAGGGAAATTATACAGCATGCACTGGGTGGGGCCGTCTGCTGCAAAGACACCAAGATACTCTTTATGGAGACCTGGGCTATTCCTGGCAGTCCTATCTTTGAAACTTCTCATTGCACTACGATATATACAGTTCTGTATTTCAGTTCTATTTCCGGTTTGGCGAGACAATGTGTGTAAATGACATGACTTTTCACTCAACCCGAACCACATCCGAGGAAAGCCAGAGGCTGGCTAACATCCTCCTAGGCAAGGGTAGGCTGCAACCCTATTTAAGCCAGCTCTCAAGGTACTCCTAAAATGTAACTGTTGTTTCGTCTTGTCTAGAAAAAGTCATCCGTTGCGCTGTACTACAAATTATGGCTAAAGAAAGAGGCCTGGTAAAGAAGGGAGCAGCCAAAGGGATGGCCATGTGGCCAGTTGTATGCAGGCTGTTCTGCTACAAGATTGAGGCCTGCAGGGTTTTTGCTGAGAATAATGATTATGGATGAGTAGCTCCATTGAAATGAGCTGTTATTGGGGAGCCAGACTGGAGGTGACTGTGGTGTGCTAATTCTTCTCTTAGGGTCATGTGCCATACTGATTTACTATTATAACCCAACCCCCTTTGCCATCTCTAAGGTGTTAGTGGATTCTAAAGAGGCCTGTTGTCCTCACATCTGCCATTTCCCTCCGTTGCCAGACCCCATCCTCACTCTGAACTTTCATCCAGGGCCTGCCCGGTAGACAATTAATTTTTGTAAGGTTCTGGAAGCTGCTGCTTGCCGCTAACACATGAGTGCTCTTCCGGGACCAGTCCAAACAGGATTAATCATGTGGCAAAGAAATCATCCTGTGATTTCCCCGAAGTTCTTGCCAGTTTTGGGGGCCCTGGAATTCTCTCGGCTTGCTGAGGGTTTATGTTGCAGGGAGGTCTTGAATAAAGCTGGTTCTTCGGGGGAAGCTTGGGCTTCTGACCCCAAACTGAGTTCAGACAAGGAAAGCACATAACATGTGTCTGTCAGCAGAAGGCTGAGTGCACCAGTGACCCCTGGCTCAATGCTGGCACGTATAGAGATCCAAATCTTGGCATGACTGAACATGGTCCTACCTGGTGGGCAGGACACCACTTTGTTGTATCCCCATCCCCCACCACATTCTAGGAATGTCACCAGACTACCTCATTTAATCTCCAACAGCTCCTGTAAATTATACACTATTAATCTCAGAAGTTGCCGGAACCAGGAGTCAACTCTTCACTACTGCTGATCTTAAAAAAAAAAAAAAAAGTTGAACTTGACACCAAAAGTGGATCACTTTCAGTCCCTTAAACACACAAATGCAAATTCTCTGGACTCCCCACACTAGAATCAGTGCATTAAAATGATTGCCTTAACTCATCCTGCACCCAAGAGGGTGTGGCAGGTTGCTGGGTGCTGAAAAGCCAAAAGTGTGCTCTGCCATCCTCGATAACCGAGAAGGAACCTGTGCTCCGGATTGCACGGGCTTATCTGAATTTTTGTCATAGTTCTGGCTTCTGAGAGCAAGCATTCCAGGTTACAACTTGTGGAAGTATTTTGGGGGAGGCTGAGGAGGGAGCAAATTCAAATACCAGTCTTTCCTGGAACCCTGCAGAGGCCCATCATCCCATCACTCAAGGAAACTGCTATCCTGAAACCCCCTCAGGAAGAAGCCAAAGTAGTCTTGTTAGAAGAGGGTCCATGATTGTGGACAGGTTAAGATACTCTTTATTAAAAATAAGTCATTTCTTTATTTTATCTGTCTTGATGCGAGATCTCCTGGAGTTATAAACAGTTATGAGCTGCCATGTGGATGCTGGGAATTGAACTCAGGACCTCTGGAAAAGCAACCTCTGCTTTTAACTACAGAGCCACCTGGCCAGCCCCAGTTAAGATATTCTTAAAGGTGACGAGGTTGCTCATAGGACTGTCGAAGGTTCACACCAGATACAGCTCCCCTTGCCTGCAATTTTGAGTAATTTCTCAGATTTCGTGAAGTGCGTGTGTGTGTGTGTGTATGTGTGTGTGTGTAGGTCAACTCTTCCTCAATTATTCTCCATCATATTTTTTGAGACACTGTCTCATTGAACCTGGAGTTCACCAATTGGTAAACTGAGGTAAGAGATGCACACCACTTAACCCTGCTTTTTATGTGAGTCTGGGGGTTGGAACTCAGATCCTCATGTTTGCATGGAGAATACTTACTGGGTGAGCCATGTCTCCATCCCCTGGAATGTTCTGGGAAAGGAAAGTGATTAGGCTTTTCATCCAAAATCTAATACAGGATAGAGCCAGGTTGGGAAACAACTGGCATACTGCCAAGTTCATCCAGGGCAGGAAATAGAGGTGGCTGTTTCCTCCCACATGTCTAACCACAGCGCTTGGCTGTCCATCATCCCAGCCCATTCATGACCAGCCAGGTGATGGGAAACTTTCAAACATCAACGGAAAGAGTAGAGCAGGGTTAGAGACAGCTGGGTGGGTAAATGCTTGCTGTGCCCAGATGAGAACCTGAGTTTGGTTCTCAGAACCCTTGTAAAAATCAGGGCAGTAGCAAGGATTTTAATAACCAGTGCTAAAAATGCAAGAGGCAGCACATCCCTGACGCTCCCTGGCCTCAGTCTTGCCCAGTCCACAAGTTCCAGGCCACTGAGACACCCTGTCTCAAAAAAATAATACTTGAGGTTATCACTTGACCACAACACACACACACACACACACACACACACACAGATGGGTATGTTGTATGTCTGTGCCTGGTCCAGTGTCTTTGCCTCAGACAAACTGTTGGTTGTATTTGGAGATGAGTCAGGCTAAGTTCTGAAGGAGGCTTCCGACCTTGGCCAGCTTGTCACTTACTTGGAAAAATGGAAGACAAACATTGTCTGGCAAGGCAGAATGAATGCAGTTTCAAAAACAAAAACAGAGAGGACAGTTGTCTTTCCAGATGAAGATGAGCTCATGACTTCTGTCCAGAGGGGCAGAGATTGCAGAAACGCCCAGAGAGGTATGGGCAGGTCAGTCTGGTCACACCAGGGTTCTGAGAGCGCCTGTAAATTGGCAGAGTGCAGAGGAATGCCAATATCGTGGAGAACAGTTGGAGGCCAGGGAAGAGGGGTGCAAAATGTGTAAATAGTACTGAGGAGAGCAGGGAATTTCCCAGAGTCCATCATTGTGTTTCCATCAGAGAGAATGAAGCACAGCAAACAAAGAAAGCTGGGAGCCAGAGCAGAGTGCCCTACTAGAGCGAGAGAGGACTGGGATCTCTAGAAAGGGAGAGAGACAAGGAACACTGTTTGTTGCCGGGAAAGCTGCCCTGCCCAAGGAATTTGCTTACTTGATAAATATTTATTGAGCTCTTGCTGTGTGTTCAGGCATTGGAGCATGTTATTGTCCTGCTTTGAGCTCCTACAGGGCTGTACTATTTGGCAGCTTTGGGGATCTGACCTCAGTTTGGGTGGGTCCCTGAGAATCACAGATCTTAGTCTGGCAACACATTCCATCCAATGTGTTAATGTGTTTACTCTACAGAAGCCCAAACGTCCCCGGAACCTTTTTCACTTGAGAAGGTCATGCGGCAGGTAGCGGATATATACATAAAGTGCAGAAAAAAGAAAAGTCTGTGTGCGCGCGCGCGCGTGCTTGTGGAAGCCAAAGGAAAATCTTTATCTTGTCATCCTTGTTTTTCTTATCTTTTAAGATTTGTTTTATTTTTTAAAACTGTGTTTATGCATCTGTGTCTACCTGCACATAATTGCAGGTGCCCCGAGGCCAGAGGAGTCAGATGCCTTAAGGGATGGAGTTGCTGAGAATTGGAAGTATATGCAAAGGAAGCAGACTTGGTTCTTTGGAAGTATAGTTTGAGCTCCCAACTGCTGATCTATCTTCCCACCCTCTAGCTGGTTTCCTTGAGACAGCCTCTCTCACTGGTCTGGATGGACCTTGTCAA